ACTGACGACGGTCGAATTTTTGACGACGCAATCAAATTTTTATCGTCTGTCCCAAAACGTACATAAACATACTACTAAAGTTGAGAAGCTGCGAAGTCAAGCTGCAACTGTTGTTGACATGGCATCTCAACTGAACGAATCTTCGGACAGTTTGTTAGAAGCAATTGTGATGTCTGAGATCACAAGTATTTGTCAGCTTAGTGAAGAGTATCAGGCCAGAGGCATCACCGGAGTCTGTCAGCTCTTGCGTAAAGTCGTTCTGCCAAACGTAGGATCAAGCTGGCTTTCGATGCAAAAGACATCGAGGGACCTTTTTGATAAGATTTCAGAGTTTAACATCACAGAAGCCAAAAAACTTCAACAGCATGATGAGCCTAAGCTTTTCAAACCATCTTCTGAACATACAGCACTCTGGGAAATGGTGAAGGTGGTAGATGCCAATGATAGTGATACAAGCTATTTTGGAGAATGCATGTCTGCCACGTGAGTTTTTAGCTTACTACTGTATTATGTACTGTACTTTTTTCTCACATCAATGTATACAGGGCGAGGTGGATTCGAGACTACAGTGGTAGTTCGCAATCAGAACGAACTGTGGATATGTACATCATTGGCCCATTCTCCAAAACTCCACAAGTCAAATATCTGTAGTAAGTTTTTTTGCCATCTCCTGATTCCGTGTTAGTTATTTGTTATATATGCCTTTATATACACTATATGATATAGTGGTGAAAACCGATTGGAGGCCGATCGGAGCGAAAAAGCGGGACGATCTGAGTCATCCAGAGTGGGAAAAGCCTGTGATTACATATTTCTTGTAGGTGGTTTGTTGTTGGGTTAGTTATTGTTTTTCACTTGGGTTTACTATTACCATATTTGCAGTCTCATGACCGAGAGTCAGGCATCGGAGAAAATTCTGGACCACAGTGTAAAGATCATGTGGACAAAGCAACCACAGACTTTGTTGATGTCATCAAAGTTGCAAGATCTCAACACATTGCAATAGGGACAGCATGCATTGAAGCCAGTGGTGTCAGTCCTCTTCCAGTGATGGTGCAGAATGCATTGTATGAGGTTTCAATACCTTTCTTTCAGGTTATTGGCTCTCGCATCAGGTTCTATCTTCTTCTCAATGTGGACGGAGACATATTTGCTTTTTTCGAATGGGCTTCAGAAAAGCTGCCTATTAGAGAAACTGATGTTGATGAGCTCACATGTCTGTGCAGAAGGTTTCTCACTCACAGGGTGCGTATTTCCAGGGTGTTCAAAAATGCCAATGTTTAATTACTGACATTTCTTTATGCAGAATCTCCTTAATCATACAGGGAAAATGAGTGAGCTAGCAATTAAAAAAGCAAAGCGTTGTCGATCAATGAAAACTTTGCCTCCGGCTACCATGTGTCAAACGAGCAATCTCATTCTTATGCAAACTCCAGAGAAACCCAAAAAAAGAGCCTGATGGCTGATTTTTTTTAGATTGAAGGATGTCAGCAGTTATCAGGCTATACATGTATTGTATTTTTTGAAGCAATTGAAAAAAATAAACCAAGATGTGATAAGTATAATGACAATTGATCAGTCTACTGTCGGATTGCCACACGCGGGAGAGCGTTCGTGTAACAACCTTGGAATTTAGCAATGTCCGATGAAAGCCTTTCGCTACTTCCTACTTACTAAATACGACAGTCGGTGACCTAATAGGATTTATCATACTCATGGATTTCCATTATCCGATGTCTGTAACGCTTTTTCTAGATTTTTGTTTAATCTCGAGCAACCTCGTTTTCTCCGAGCGGGATTAGTTTCGGTCTCCAACGATTGGGAAAGATTATTATTTAAATAACGTACGTCAAACTAATTAAATAAGAATCCTGATGCGAAAGTTCGATGGCTTTGCAGCAAGATCGAATCTTCAAAACCACCTACTGTGCTAGTGCGAAAAAGCGATTTCTCAACTTTCACTAGCTGTATTTTAAAACTTCACCAGAGATAATTACTTTTCAAAACATTTATTAGAATTCGAAGAGCTATTCTAAAAGGACAATTGTAAGAACAAAAGTTGTTGTTGCTGAAGAGGTATGATCGTAATGAATTCTAAAGTGTGACGAGAAAATCGGAAAATTTGGATATAAACGGAAGGACTATAATTAATCTATTACTAATTCCCTGTTAACCCGATATATCAAAATATTCTGAATTACAATACAGTCAAACCTCGTTATACCGAAGCAAGCATCTCTCCCCCCCCCACTTTTTAATATTTAAAATTTACTCGCTATACCGAATTTTAATAGTAAAGTCGCTTTATACCGTTACCGAAGTTCAGGGTTTTTGTATTGTTACTAGTCTCGCTATAACGAAGTTTTGTCATGTGACAATATATTAGTTACAATGATTGGTTGCAGCAAGTTGTCAGTCGTACAAATTTCTGTCATACGCTAATTTGTCATACGATATATCTGTACTTGTTATATTGTAGCATTCCTAATTCAGCTATCATTGTCAGATTTTCGGTTGAATTATTGCTCGTTTATTATCATACGATTTTTCGGTTGTTCTTTTGCATCCATTTATAATTGCTTGTTTTTATTTAGCGTCTATCGTACAATA